GGAAGGGCAACTGTTGGCAGGTTGGAGACTCCCTGATAGTTGTTGTTTTGAAGGAGTTTCTGGGTGTTGCTGCCTCGTTCAGCTCAGAAGTTCAGCTTCACTAGGCTTTCTGGAAGCAAATCAGAGCCTGGCCTCTTCCTAGAGTGCCTCCTGCCCCTTCAAGAAGTAAGTTCCTCTTTTACCTTGAGAACTTCTGGATGTACTTGGGGAAATTTCACGTTCAAAGACATCCCCACCCTGGTTCCCCCAACTCTGCTCACTTCCACTCTGTTGCTGGGGCAACTCTCTTGCCCCAGAGACAGTTGTTCCCATTTTCACTTCCAGCAGCTCCCTAGTCCAGCATCCTGTGCCTGAAGCCCCACCCACAGGAGCCTCCCTCAGCATCCTTTCTGCCCTGTGAATTCTTGAGAACTGAGGGCAGAGGTTTGGCTGATAGACCTTTTATCAAAGAATTGAGGCAGAAATGCTTATTTCCTGTTGTCCCAGGACCGACCATTGCTGCCAGTGGCATCGTGGCCCCCCACATTTTTGTTGGTCTCCATGAAAAATGTCCCCATTCAAGGTGTAGGAGCCTAACAGGTACTCAGGAAATGAGATCTATATCAAAGAAAGGCAAAAAATAAATAAATGTGGGAAGATACCCTGCCAACCAGCAAGAGACAGTTGAAGGACTGAGATTGCTTCTCAGCCTCTTTTCCTGCTCAGGGTTTGCTGTCATGGACCATCGCTGATAACAGCCAATCAGCAGAGGGGTCTCATGGGGTGTGGCATCCTCCAACCATGATGACTCTTGGCCATTCCCACACAGCCTGTGTTCTTGCTTTCTGCTGGCTTTTTTTTTTAAAGAAGGAAGATGTCAGTCAATCCAGTCTGTCATGATGTTAACCTACCATGCTGAGTCTTTTGACTTAAAGTTACTTTCTTTGGTTCCATTTTAGAGTTGGGCTTTCATGATGGATTGCGACTCACTGATCTTGCGCTCTTGTTGGAATGCCCTGGATCACTGTATGAGAGCTTTTTCTGTACTTTCATTCTATTCTGTTCTATCATTGTAGCTGTTTAGTGCCAGTGCTACACATGAATTATATCAGTTTTATAATACCTTTTTAGAGCTAATTGGGTAGATATTATATATATTTCTACTTATGGATTTTTTACACATATATTCTTTCATAGTAACTCTAGAATATTTTTTAATTCCAAAAAAATCTTGTTGGAATTTGATTAGAATCATTTTAAATATATATATTATTTATATATAAATTCCATGATGAGAGATAATGAACATCCTTACAACACTGAGGCTTCCTATCCAGGAACATGATGTTTCTCATTTATGCACATCTTTTTCTTTTTCTCTCAAGAAAATGTTGTCAGTTCCTTCAAGTAGGCCCTGTACTGATATTTCAGGAGGTTTGGGCATTTTGTTTCCTTGTTTGTGTGTTGTTTTCGGGGGTGTGTCTGGGCTCAAGTAAAATGCAAAACAACTTTCTCATCTCCTGCCCAGAAGTATCACCTCCTGACATCTTCCCAACCCTGTTCCACCTTTGTCCCATCACATCTTAGCCCTTCCTTTCCAGATGCCTTTAGAGGGTCATTTAACATTTCCTAACCTCCATTACAGGGAACACTGTGTCTTATCTGCTTTATCTCCTCTTTCTATCATTGACCAATTTCCTATTTTTCTCATTTCAAACAATGGACAGTCACAGACTGTCTGATCAAAGAAGTGCAATAAGGAGATGAGTGCCTGAGAAAGACTCTTAGCAAGAGTAGGATGACTGGGCTGGGGGTGAGAAGAGGCTGGAAGCAGGAGGCCCGTGGTGGGCTGCCCTGGGAGGCTGGCACCAGGGGTCAGGCTCAGGGTGCAGGTGGCAGGAATGAAGGACGGGGCACGAGAGGATTTGTGGAAGAGGATGGGCGACAGTGACTCAGACACAGGACCAGGTGAAGGACGTAGTGAAGGTCACTCTTGCTGGTCTGGGCTTTGACCCTGAAAGATGATTGAAATGGATCAGAACTGATGATGGCTAATCCCTAGACAGGACTCATGCCTCCGGGCACGGAGAACTTTGGCTTGTTCTTTCAGGCGCTGCTCCAGTTCATTGTGGGAGGGGAGGAGAGAGTTGGACGAGCCCGCATGACCCCCCCCTCGTGTCGGGCAGGACAGCCGCCAAGGCACTTGAGGGGTCAGTAGCATCCAGTGGAGTCTGTTTTAATTATGAAGAAGAGCATTTAAAATACCTCTTGGCTAAAATCCAGAGATTTAACAATTCAATTTCAGATATGACTTTAATTCTCATTCCTTCCTTTGCGAAGTGGTTGGAAGTGCTCTGAAAACGTGTAGCGTCGTTTGTGAAGATAGCTTCCCCATGGAAGTGCTCTGAAAACGTGTAGCTTCCCCGTTATCTCAGGATGCCCAGCAGCTTGCTTCTTCCCGACTTATGGGGGTGTGGGTGTGGGTGTGTCCGTCGGTGTGAACTGAGTTCTACTGAGAATGGGGGCAAGGACATCTCAGGCTCAGAGCCACCCCTGAGTCTGTGTGGGTTGCTTGCTGCACGTGGACGCTGGCTGAGGGGGGAGGGCTGAAATCTGAGCGGTGCTTCCCTCTCAAGCTGTTTGCCATGGGGCTGTGTCTCCCTGGAGGTGGGCATCTTCTTCTCATTTGCACAAAGGCTGCAGTTGGGCTGGGCCTGCTCAGTCATCTCTGCAGGCTCCTAGAATGACGGGGACTCTATAGATGGGGGGCTAAGGGCTAATGATTCCCAGGGAACCCCTGCCTTCCCATAAATGCTTCCTGCGCTGGAGCCTGGCTGTGGGTAGTTGCCTCTCCAATGCCAGGTCCCAGGCTTCTTCCATCTTCCATGCTGCTGTCCATGTGGCTTCATTCCTTATGCTCGTGAGATGTCTCACTGCTGTCTCTCTGAGCCTCACAACCACATTCTAGGCAGGAAGAAGAAGGAAAGGCAAAAGGCATGGCTCACTGGGTCTATCTCTTTTTAATCAGGAAAACAAAAACCCAAACTGCCAGCCTTACCTGCCAAGGGTCCAGGGAGGTGGCTGATTTCACTGACATATTACCAGCCTGAAAAAAATCAAGTCCCTGTTGGTGAGCAGGGAAGAGGGAATGGATGTTGGACAGGCTCCCTGTAGCACCTGGAGGGGTGGACACCCCGCACCCCAACGTGGGCATCGCAAGTCATCACATCTGTCTTCATTGCCCGTAATCAGCATTTTGTCAAACCTTTTCTCATTCCTTCTTAGCCTTCTATACACAAAATAATATTTTAAAGTAGATTTCAGCTAAATTTCAGGGGCTCCTGATAAGCTTATTTGCTTAAATACATAGAAGACAAACTTGCCCTACAGAGTGAGGGTGCATTTGTGCCGCGTGTCCCTGGGAGCTCACAGTTCCAAGCCGACGAGCACACCCACAGGAATTGTTCCTCCCGGCTTCCAGGCGGCCAAACAGCTGGGATGCTTTCGGTTATTTTCTTCATGAAGAAATTGTAATTTATTCCCAAATGCATATTTAATGACCTAAAATAGAATGTTAGCAATTGAGTTTGGAAGGGCTCAGTAGGACTTAAGGGGCCGCAGCCGTCTTTCCTTGCCAGCTCCCAACCTCCTGTGCTACAGCGACCAGCTTCCCTGGGCGGCTCAGCTGCTCCCAGGCCCAGCCTGGTTCCCTTCCTCAGAGGAGGGGCTGAGGCCTCAGCACAGGAGGCCGACCTTGAGCAGCTGTCAGCTGCTCAGCTGGGACCTGCCTGCAGGGGGCTTCTGAGCAGCTGATTCATGGAGCTCCCCCATATGGCCTCCAAACCTCCAGCTTCATCCCTGGCAGTTCCCTGGAACTAGACAAAGGCACTTCTCTCCTTATATTCTCTCCCAGCCCCAGGCTAGTCCTAGACAGTCTTGAGGGTCCAGCTCAGGTGGCAGCTTCTCCAGACCCTAACCCCCTCCACCACCAGGTGAGTTAGTTACCCCACAGCTGGGTCCCTCACACGGTGAGCACACCCCATCACTGTGCTGGACGGGTCTTACCCATCCTCGTCACCCCAGGCTTGTTTCATGAATCAAAATCATCGTCCTCCCAGCCCTGTGGCCTCAAGGGAAGCTGTGCAGCACAGGGAGCTTGCTGGCCGACCCCGCTCCACCTGTCCCGGTTGCCACCCGCCCTTGACTTCCCGAGAGCTGAAGGGGAAGGCTGGGGGCCTTGTCACAGCTCTGGGCAGAGGTGAGCATTGGCTCAGCACCTCACACCTTCCTGGCTTCTGGCCATGTGCCAGCCCGGGGCTGGCCGCAGGGACTGCCCCGAGGATGCCAGGCCAGCAGGGAGGCCACATACATCAGGGCTCTGTGGGGACTTGGTCCCCCTCTTCGGCCTCTTTGCCAGTTTATCCCTCACTCCTCTTCTCCCACCCACTGGGCAGCTGCCCAGGTGGCTGTGTGTAGCAGGAGAGGCGGAAGTGCTCAGGTGTCGGGGTGGAGGATGTTGGAATGATGAGAGGAGCTCCTGAGATGCAGAAGGGCTGACCGGCCAGCGATGCCGGATTCCCCTCTGGCTCCCGTCTCCTCGGTGCGCGGACCAGCTTTCTCCATCTCTGGGCACACACCACACGCTCCAGGGCCAAGCAAGGCACATTCCGACACCTTGCAGCCTGCAGGAAGGGAACTCTGAGAGGTTTGAGTTTTGTTTCCACTGCTTCTATGGAAAAAAAACAGTTTTTTTTTTCCTTGCAAAATATCACATTTTTCCCAATTGAAGGCAAATCAATTTTATTTTGTAACGTGTCTGACTCGCGAAGTTCCATTGCTGCCCTGCTCTCGGCGGCCTCTTGGAACTAATCCCTGATCTCTGCTGTGCTGAGACGTAGCCAGTCCTTCCCTGAGCTAAACTGAGGGCATTTGTTTTCATGTCTAAGTAAGTTGTGAGTTTGCTTTTAATAGAGGACCAAAGATGATGCATTAATCTTGGATTCTCCTTATTTTATCACAAGAAAACTGCTGCAGATGGAAAAAAGCAGGAGATCATCGTCCTGGATTCCAAGAGGAGCAATGCTATTAATATCGGTTTGACGGTACTGCCCCCTCCAAGAACGATTAAGATAGCCATTTTGAATTTTGATGAATATGCCTTAAACAAAGAAGGGATTGAGGTAAGGGGAGCTCTGTGGAGCGTTATTTGTGTTCTGTAATACGTTGCATATGTAAACATTACTGTGTCCAGTGTGACTTTCTCCACAGGGTGGCTTGCCATTTTTCTGTCTCAGCCAGATTCTGAATAATGTTAATAATTCTCACATCTTGTTTTTTAACTTCTGGGGGAAAAGAAGCCCCACTTTGCCTAGGAAATTCAGAGATCCTCACTCTCTGGTTCATTTACTAACTTCCTTCTGACCACATTCCACCTGCCTCGATGTGGAAGAATTTGACAACCGCCACGGGGGTGGGGCTGGGATGCCTTCTTTCACATCATTTCAAACCAAATACGTTTAATGAACAGTCTCAAAAGTAGGGTTTTCCATACGTGCTCACTCCGTGTTAGCGGATTTGTTTCTCTCTTGGCACCCTTTGGGGTGTGTAGAGATGGGTTTCATGTGATCAGCTGGAAAACCCAAGCCAACTGAGTCTGCAGCATTTGTTAATCTGAGTGGCACAAGTGGAGAGAGATTGGGTGCCTTGGCTGTGACTACATGGCTGGCAGGCGGCCCAGCTGGCGCCACAGCTCCCCTGCTCTGCCAGGGCCCAGTGCCCTTCCACCAGGCCCTGCTCACCCTTCGCTGTGGGCTGGTGCCTGTCTGTAGGAAGTTAAATCTCCTGTTCTTATAACAGAGAAAGAGTGAGTGAAACCAGTGGCTCAGCCCACAGATTCCTACAGATGGGTGGATGGCCTGGGGGCTCACTGGGTCAGAGTGGGGATCTGAAGACACTGCTTCGTGACGTTGGGTGACACCCACCCCATCCTTCTACTGGCAAAGAGCCCTGGGTTCCTTTAAAGGCTCTCCATATCTGAGATTCCTTCATACCCAGTCTTATTTGAAAGCCTCGAGAGTGAAGGAAGCCAATGAAGGCTGGCTGCAGGGAGGGAGAGCGGGCTTTGGCGGGAGAGTTGAAAGTGAGGAGGGCCTGGGGGGCTGTGCCCTACGCGTCTCCAGCCCTGAGTGTGGTAGGGGGCAATGGGGCCCATGGGGCAAAGTGACGCCTGAACCCAGGAGGACAGCCGTGACTTTGTGCTTTGGAAAGCACAGACCTCCACAGGAAAAGCCGTGTTCCAGAGGTTTGTACTGGATTGAGTACAAACTTCAAAATCCATGCCTACCCAGAACCCCAGAATGTGACCTTATTTGGAAATAGGGTCTTTGCAGACATGATCAAGTTAAGATAAAGTCATCCTGGATTAGGGTGGGTCCTACTCCACTGGCTGATACCCTTCTAAGAAGAGAGAAGTTTGGACATAGACACAGAGAGGGGAATGCCATGGGAACACAGAGGATACACAGGAAGACACACAGAACAGAGCACCGTGTGATGATGGAGGCAGAAATTGGAGGGAAGCGTTTACAAGCCACGGAGCATGAAGGACTGCCGGCAACTACCAGAAGCGAGGACAAGGCAAGGAAAGATCCTCCCCTCGAGTCTTCAGAAAGAGCATGGCCCTGCCGACACCTTGATATTAGACTTCTAGTCTCTCAAACGGTGAGAGAATAAATTTCCTTTGTTTGGAACCCCTGAATTTGTGATGCTTTGTTATGGCAAACCTAGGAAACCAGCACGAGGCCTAAGCAACTCTGCCCTGAGAAACACACACACAGCCTGTGCCAGGAGCAGGTACGATGAGGGAAGTGGTACTTCTCTCTGGCTGGAGAGGAGGTGGAGCCCGAGCCCTGGAGTCAGGCCATGCAGCACAGCAGGTCAGCAGAGCCCGGGAGTGAGGGCATGTGGCACACCGGGGAGGGTGTAAAAAGGAGAGAGCAGGTGACAGTAGGCAAATACAGAGAGGGACACTGAGGCAGCTGCCAGACAGCGAGAAAGAAGGGAGCAGGCCCAGCCTTAGTGTGAGGCACCTCCACCCTGGGACGCACAGAGCAGCAAGAGAGAAGGGCATTGGGCAGGTGGGAGCCGCCAAGCGGGACGAACCAAGTGCAAAGTGTCTCTCACATAGGACAGATGAGTAGGAGGCCCTAACGCACATTCTGGCCATCCTGTTTACTTCACAGGATCTTTTAAAGACTGTAAAAGCTTCAGATTCGTACATAGCCTCTAAATGCAGCCAGGGCCAGCTTGATTGCAGGAAAAAATGACAACTTCCCCTTTTAAAAATATTTCCCCTTATTGCCATGAGAACTTGAAAGTCCATCAGGAGAGGTGGATGCCTTTGGTTTTGCCTTTTTTCTTTCCTGAAATGTCAGTCTCCCTGGGTGGGGAGAGTTTCAGATACAATAAGTTAGTTAGATTTTAGAATGAATCAAATTATTTTTTCCTTTTCTGACTGGTTTTTTCAATCCAGGAAGGAATGATGATAGATACAATAATGATGACTGATATGGGAGCAGCACAGCACTAAACTTGACTTTCCTAGGTTTCCTCCTGTGGGCCAGACACCAGGTAGGTGCTTCACACAGACGCTCATCAGACCCTTACGCGGTACATACTATTATGTTCTTCATCTTAAAGATGAAGAGGATGAGTTCCAACGTTTGTCTGTGTCCAAGCTCCCAAGCCAGTAAGAGGTCGAGCTGAAATATGATTTCTAGAGCCTGAGCTGGAAGTGCAATCCACAGGCCAGCTCTGGCGGCGGCCAACCCAGGTGGGCTGTCTGGGCCTGGACTCACCCACCGAAAAGAATAAGAGGGAATCTGGAAGGGGAGTGAGAAGATGCATGAGGCAACGCAGTCCGCATTACAGCGCTGCCTATGGTTTTCCTCTGCGAGTAGCTGGCATATGAAATGAGGTACAGTGAGAGGACAAAGCCATGGAAATCACTGCCTAACCCTTCCTGAGAGCTTGTTGTGTCATGAGTGCTCGGTAAACTCATATATAGTCACAAGACATGGAGTTACACATTTTTACCACACTGTTTTTGAAAGCAAGGTTTATCAGCTGGCACTATTGCCATTCTGGGCTGGACAGTTCTTTATTGTGGGAGCTGCCCTGTGCAACGTAGGGTGTTCAGGATCCCTGGCCTCTGCCCACAAGATGCCGGTGGCACCCATCCAGGGGTGACAACCAAAAATGCCTCTTAGACTTCATCAATATACCCTGGGGACAGAATCACCCTGATTGAGAACCCCTCATCTGAAGCTGCCTGGGCAAATCCAGACTGTGTATATTTTCAACTCTTGTCAGCTGTAGCTGGGAATCCAGAAGAAACCAGTCCTTGTGGGGAAGACAGAACCCAGGCCCTCCCAGCTGTTACCTGCTGTCTCTGGCCACTGATCCCAGGGGCCCAAGGGGTAGAGATGGTCTTCATCCAAGTGCAGAGCTACTCCCCCAAAGCTTATTGTCTAGGCTTGTTGTTCAAGAGTTAAGTCAGGGCTGAGAAGAGATGTAAGTTGCGTCCTTACAGATCTTCACTAATATGATTTCCAGCTTATGCCCAAATGGCCTTTTGCCAAGCCGTCTGCTTCTTGGATGCAGGCCCTGTGGCGTGGCACCACGGCTTAATGGGGTCATTCGAAACGAAACCTCTGTGTACCTGGACGTGATTAGGATGTATTCACTGACATCCTGTTTGTCACCCCCATGTTTTGTATCTGGTTCATCATGAAAACCCATGGGAGCAAGTAACTTCATTAAGGAAGTCGTTTTTCATAAGAGTATTAAACTTTAGAATATGATTTGGGGGCATCTCTAAGTATTACTAATGGTATTTTCCCAAGTAAAACATCGCTGAGGTATCACAGATGGAAGTAGGAAGGGTTTTCATTTTTCTCCTTGCTTTTCTCATTTTTAGAGTCTGTGTTTACTCAGAGGGTAACACAATTGAATGGCCCCAAACGACATTTAACTTGGCCCTGCTTGGCTGCCAGGCCAGTCAGCATCCTAGAAACAGAATTTCCCTTTGGCCGCCTGTACAAAGCTACAGTATCTTCTCAAGCAGTTTGTGTTGGGAACCCCGTCCACGGGTCCCTGAGTGAGCGCTGGACACGCGCAGATGAGCCTGAGTGCAGGAGCCCATCAGTGGGTCCACAGTGCCAGGAATGAGAATGTCCCACACTGGTAGTTTGTGGAATCGCCATGAGCATGGAGGTGGTGCTAGAAAGTAAGAGGAGCCCCTGGGTGGTTCTCCAGTGCTACCTTGGTTATCCAGCCTAGCTTCAGGCACTGCATCTTCATCTGTAAATTTGGTGCATAATTTCTGCCTTACATGCCTCACTTGAGTAATCATAAGAACGAAAGAAGATACTATCAAGAAATAAACTTGAGGAGTTAACTAAAAAAAAAAAAAGCCCCTCCCTGAGATGAAGTGCATGAAGAGAATGCCATTGTCTCATGAGACTGCAAGTTGCATCCAAGCCCTGCATAAAGGCTCCAACTTTCTGCTGTTAGGTTCTCATCCAGAGTCGTAGCCAGGGTTCTGTTCAGAACTCAGGAGATATGGGGATACACGTATGTGTATAGCTGATTCAATTTGTTATAAAGCAGAAACTAACACACTATTGTAAAACAATTATACTACAATAAGGATGGTAAAAAAAAAAAGAACTCACAAGACTTGATAATTACTTAGTATGGTCTCATCTGCAAGTGAATGAGATGGCCAAACCCCAAAGCATTTGGGTCTGTAAAAAATAAGTCAGACTTATGAATTTTCATCTGAAATATGATTTTCAGATACAAAAGCAAGCATAGTTAAAGCAGTGCTGGAGAAACACTGTCTGGAAGAAAGCAAAAAAACACTGAGATTATTATGTCATGGGCCTGTTTGATGTTTTCCTCCTTGTGAAACCAAATGGTCATCACAGAAACATCAGTAAATCTACTGACATGGTAAAGAGCAAATTAAAGGTATGCTCATTCCCTTGTCATCTGCTCATGGAAAAAAGGGACCATCACCTCACAGGAGGTAGCGTTGACCTCCTGTCCCCGTCTTACGGCTATTTTTATTGTCAGTGATGTGTAAAAAATAAGTAAAATAAACTGGCAGATGGTAACCTCATAAATCTTCAGTAGTGAACAAATGGTTTAAATTAGAGAAAGGAAAAACAAAAGAGTGTTTGATTACTTTCCCAAAGGAAGAAAGCAAACAAAAATCATCCCAGGAAAATGCCTTCTGAGGAAGGGGGAAAAGCGTTGACAACTTTATATTTCGGAATTCTTGTACATGCTTAAAACAATTTGAGCATTAAGAAAATTAAAATACAAATTCTTACTTAAGTTTTTCTTTTGAAAACCAGTTGAGTTCAAATGCTGGGTGTTTTGGAAGAAGTGACATCTGCTTGGATTGTTTTGGTCCTTTTTAAATGCCATCTGTGTGGACAGGTGGAATCAGTAGCATCAGCCTGTGGGAGAACAAGGAGGATCGTCACTGAACGTCTCCCCAGTGCTCCATTCCACCCACATAATCTGTGTTTGGGGTCGTGATGAAGAGGATGTTGGAAGAAGAGGTATCTAGGGCTCACCACCTGTGACCTCACTCTGACCACAGCCCAAAACAGGTCTTCAATACAGTTTGTCATCACTGGCTTCTGATAAACTCCTGAGACAGCCCTCCCTGATAACACTTTCAGAAGCCTAGGACAACTACTACCCCACCCAGATACATCCTAAGGCACAATCATGTAGATATCTGCATGTTTGCTGATTCTGGTGTCAAGTGTCCAGTCTTTTATTTTGACTTTTTTTTTTAATTAATATAGAGTAAAGTTGACTTTTGGAGGGGGTCCAGGTCTATTGAGTTTTAAAACATATATAAATTCATGCAATGACCACTGTAGTCAAAAATTCAAAGCAGTCCCATCTCCCCAAAAAGCTCTTGTGCTGTCCCTTTCTAGTCACACCCTTAACCCACCCCTAGCCCCTGTTGATGACTGATTGATTCTCATCACTATGGTTTTGTCTTTCCGAGAATGTCATACACAAGGAATGATACAGCGAGTAACCTTTTGAGATTGGCTTCTTTCACTCAGCATGATCGATGCCTCTGAGATTCATCCAAGTCGCAGTTTGTATCTACAGTTGGTCCCTTTTTATTGCTGAGTATCATCGCGTTGTAGGGATGTACCACTGGCTGTTTGTAAATATAAATATCCACCCGTTGAAGAATATTTAGCTTGGTCCAGTTCATAGCAGTTATGAATAAAGCTACTACAAATACTCATGTACAAGTTTTAGTGTGAATACTGTTTTAATTTTTCTAGGGTAAATACAAATGGAATTGCTGGGTCATGTGATAACTCTATGTTTAATCTTTTGAGGAACTGTAACTTGTCTCTTCATTCTCTTAACAGTGTCTTTCACAGAGAAAAAACGTTTAATTCGGATGAAGGTTAATTTATCAACCTATTCTTTTTTTGTATCATGTCTAGGGGTTCACTGCATAACCTGTGTCACAAAAATTTTCTCCTGTGTTTCCTTCTAAAAGTTTTGTAGTGTTGCTTCTTACTTGTAGATCTATGATCCCCTTTGTGTTAACTTATGTAGAAGGTGGAAGGTTTAAGTTGAGGTTCACTTTTTACATATGGATTCCAGTTGGTCCATCCAACACCATTTGTTGAAAACACTACCATTTGTCCACTGAACTGCCTTCATACCTTTGTCAGAATCACTGGGCCATATTTGTGTAGTCTATTTCCGGGTGCCCCATTTTGTCCCACTGTATCTATCATTCAGCCCATGCCACACTGTCTTAATACCGCAGCTTTATTGTAGATCTTAAAGTCAAGTGGTATGACTCCTCCAAGGGTATTCTTTTTCAAAATTATTTTGGTTTGACTGTTTTGGTCCTCTGCCTTGCCATATAATTTTTAGAATCAGCTTGTCTATATCCACAAAAAAATCACGGTATTTTGATTGGAATTGAGTTAAATTTATACATCAATTTTGGGAAGACTAACATCTTGACTATGTTGAGTCCTTCCGTCTGTGAACACTGTTCCTTCTCTCTTCACTTAGATCGTCTTTAGACGGTTAGATTGCTTTCATCAGCATTTTCTACTTTCCAAATGCAGATCCTACACGTGCTTTGTTAGATTCATACCTAAGTATTTCATTGTAAACAGCATTTTTTTAAAATTTCAGTTTGTAATTGCTCCTTAGTAATATATAGAAATAAAATGGATTTTTTTGTATATTGACCTTATATTATGCAACATTGTTTAACTCATTGTTTCATAAGTTTTTTGTAGATGCCTCAAAATTTCCTATGTAGACAATTATACCATCTGTGATAGGAAGAGTTTTATCTTTTCCTTTCCAATCTGTATGTATTTTTAAAATTTTATATACCTGGCTAGGATTTCCACACAATGTTAAATAGGAATGGTGAGAGTGGACGCCCTGTCTTGTTCCCATTCTTACAAGGAAAGCATTCTCTCTGTCACCATTAAGTATGAAATGAGCTGTAGGTTTTTTTTTTAATAAATGTATCTTATCAGGTGGGGGAAATGCCTTCTATTACTGGGTTGCTGAGATTTTTTTGTCATGAATGGAAATTGAATTTTATCAAAACTTTTTTGAGTCAATTGAAATGACTGTGTGAATTTTCTTGTTCACACTGTTAATCAGGTAGATTAATTGCATTGATTAATTTTTTTTTCATATTGAACCAACCTTGTGGCTATTTTAAAATATATTGCTATATGAAATATAGCAATAGATTTATATATCTTAATATATTGGCATTTATTTATATACTTTAAAATATTTTGTTAAGGATTTTTGCATCTGATTCATCAGGGTATTGGCATGTAGTTTTCTTTTCTCGACTAGATTAACTTTGTCTGGTTTTTGTATCATGGTCATTCTGGTTTCATAAAAAGAATTAAGAATTGTTCCCTCACTTGTTGGAGTTCAAGCCACAGATTCTGACCCACCTTCTGTGGACTGTTGTTCCAGCGTCAGCTCAGTTTTCAAAGTTTTCAAAGAGCAGTTCAGGTCTCAAAGTCTTTAATGTGCTTTTGAAGGTCAGATTCATACATGAACAGCTCAAGGAGAAGCTCAGAAGTTCTTAAACAGCTTTGTGCCCTTGCTTTGCAGGCTCTTCATGTTTCATGACCTCCCCACTGCTTTCTGGTTTTCTGGGGCCTTCCTTTTTAGTCCTCCAGTGAAAGCTAGGTCTTTAGTTACCTCACTTTACCATGCACTTGCTATGACTGTGCCCATGTCTGGGGCCAAGCAGAGAGAAGATAGAAAAGAAAAGCATAAGGGGTTTGCCCCATCTCTTGGGAACACAGCTCCACTGACTGGAGAGGAATGTTCACTTCATCTGAGTTTTAGGACCTGCCAACCTTGCTGCCACCGCTAGGAGGCCCTTTCCCACACCTCGAGTCAGAACTAGAGGGCTCCCCTGGCGTTCTCTCTGTCTGCACCCGAAACCCTCTTCCAGATTTTTGGGCTACCTGAGCCCAGGCTAGGGAATACCAGAGGAAAAATGGTCAACTCATTACCAGTTCAGTTGAACTTTCAGTTCTGGTCTTCTTCCTCAATCCACCTACCACTATTTCTTTTTTTAAAAGTCTTCAAGTACCTGCTCCATGCCTGCTGTCCAGGGTGTATAGTTGCATTTAGTGGGACAGACAGAGTATTGCTTACTCTATCTATCTCCCCCAGAACCGGAACTCCTTCCCACACTTTATCCAGATGGTTGCTATTGTAGAGCAGTAACCAAAGCCACTTAGAATTAATGAATTAACGTAAGTTACCGAAAAGTATGGCACAATGTATATTTCTTTGCTTTGATACTCTCATTTGATAAATGAGAGAAAAATAATGACACCTCCTCTTTCGTAATGTTGTATGTTAAATGTCACGTGATGGGAATTTTTACCTTCTTTTAAAATGTAATCACTAAGGAATTTGAACTTATAAGAGTCCTTCTGATGCCTGTTTGCTCCCTCTGCCTTGCGCAATTGACTTTTACCAGAAACAAATAAAAGCAGAAAGTGATACTCTTTCCATTAGTAGGTAAGTATTGCTCTTTATAAGTACCACCATCATTTTTTCCTCAGTCAGACTTGAGCTGAGCCTGATGTTAAGATGTTTTCATTTCTATATAAAATTTGAAATATACTTGAAATACTTAAAACAATGAAAGTTATAATATGGCCCATGTACAAAAGTTAGTCTGAGCTCTTGGTAAATGATTTATTTTTGTAAGCTCTTAAATTAATCTGTGAGAAGATTATATGCTTCACACATTTTACTCTATTTCTTAGGGAACGGGGAGCTGTTCTCTAATCTTCTATCTTATTCTTTCACCTTTCTCTCACGCCCCCATCCCTTTCTTGCCTAGAATGTCCTTCATGTACAAGACCAGGAAATTTAGGGCAAGTTGCTTATGGAACTGGAGATTTAAAGAAAGAGAAAGAATGTTAAAACAAATGAATGTAAATTTAGATGCTACGTAGGGCTTTTCCACTCTAAAGTTTATTTGGTATATAGCAGCTGTATATGATAAGAGCACTGACAGCAGAACATCTCTACTACCTGGTTGGGAAGTTACCATATGAATTTGGAAACATCGAGGGGTCCATCACTAAGAATATACTGTATCATTCCATCTTTCCAGAAAATTCTAACCATGATTCCCACTGAAGAAGAGAAGCAGAAAATCCAGGAAGCGCAGCTGGCCAACCCTGAGGTGCCCCTGGGCAGTGCAGAGCAGTTCCTCCTTACACTGTGCTCCATCAGCGAGCTCTCAGCTCGGCTCCACCTCTGGGCGTTCAAAATGGATTATGAAACTACAGAAAAGGTAAGCACTTAGGAAGAGAGGCAGCCAGTCCTATGTCCCCAGAGTTGAGAATGTTCATTTTTTTTTTAACGGTGAACATAGTGAAGTATCATTCCTGAGACAGGGTTTGAAGGGTGCGGGTTTGATCGTGATGGGGTCGTGTCTACACCGAGTGATGTGCAGCCTACCAGTGAGGGCTTATTCTAAAGTGTCTGTCTGGCACCAGCCTCAGATACTTGACTGTTTAAAAAAAACAAAAAAACTATCAAATGTTTTTCTGACTCTATATGCTCATTGTAGAAAATTTAGACAGTACAGAAAGACACAATATGGGAAGTGACTTGCAATCCTTCTAGCTGATGATGGTCACCTCACTGCCATTGACTGTGGCAACCAGCAGGTCACTGGGTCCCTTTGAGAGAGTATCACAGTAGAAAATCTGAGATGAACAGATTTCAAGAGGTTGAGAGGAGAGTAGAAGGAAAGTGAAGGCATGGGAACACTCATCCCGAGTAGAAAGTAGAAGAAGCAGGTGTCCTCTCCGGATGGGCGAGAGGTGAGTATTTTTTGCAGGCTGAGAAGAAGGAACCATGGAGAGGACAAGGGAGGGAGGGATGGTGAGCTGGAGGTGAGCTTGACTGAGAGTAAGTGCCCAGAGGAAGTGGAGAGGATGTGTGGTCTTCCTCTTTCCGCAAGGGAGGGAGCACGGTCCTTTCTGAGGGCCAGGCAGGTAGCAGTGGGCTAAGGCTGCTTCAGGAGGAAACTGCTATATTTGACTCTATTCGAGAATCAGGCAGGGCTGAAGAAGCCTAGAACTGCTAGGGTGACGTGGTTGCAGAACTAGTCAGCATGTTCAGATGATTTTCTGGAGAAAAGTGAGGTAACTTCGGGGAGAAAACAGGTCATCGAATCAGCCTTGGCCAGGGGCTGGGAGGGCCTGCCTAGCAGAAGCGAGGCTGAAGAGAATGCAGCTGAAGCTTCTGGCTTTGGGGTCCATGCTTGGGGAGAGCCTCAGTGAGGACGCTGAGGTGGGGGGTGGTTACAGAACGACCAGACAGAGGGAAGGGGAGACTGAGGCCATGAGGCCACGGGGCAGGCTAGACACCTGAGAGAGTGGGAGTTTTGAAGAAAGTTGGAGTAATGAGGATGATGGCCTTCTAGAAAGTAACCCAGGCCAAGAGGTGGCCAGCCACAGAGTGCCTAGAGGGGAGGTTAGGAGACCTGGGTCCAGGGACAATGAGGCCACAGTTTCCAGTGTCATCTGCCTGGGAGGAGAAAGGCAAAGAGGAAGACTGGTTCCGATGCTGAAGGAACCTGCAGGTGAAGAGTTTCATAGACATCAACCATGGTCAGAAGAGAGAATGGGAGGAGAGTATAACCAGAGGGTCCTGCTTGAACTTGGGAGATGGGCAGGAACAGGGGATGACAGAGCAGATGTCACCCAACCAAGCTCCTGTGAGCCACAGGTACCCAGTTGGTCTGCACTGAGGAGACTTTGGGGCTAGACTTTCTCCTGCTGCCCTTCTGCTCTTTTCCACACCTGGGAGCATGTGCCCATCACATGGGATTGCCTTATACTGGGAGAACTCCACTGGTAATGACCTTGTACAAAAATTAAAAAGAACAAAGTAAAACCAAAATTTACGCTATCACCTTCTTCTAACTTTTTTTTAATTGAAAGGAAGTGGCAGAACCACTTTTGGACCTGAAGGAAGGAATAGACCAGTTGGAGAACAATAAAACCTTGGGCTTTATCCTGTCTACTCTCTTAGCCATTGGGAACTTTCTAAATGGAACTAATGTAAGTCTTTCCCATCGCTTTCTTCACAAAATCCCTGCCCTTCACTTGCCAGTGGAGGTCGTACCTCTGGTCCTCCAAAGCATAATTGAACAAACAGTTTTTGTGTTTTTTGGTGAAAATCTAGAAGTTTTGTCCTTAAAATATCAGGGCCTATTTATTCAAGCCTGTGTCTTGCTATAAATAAGAAAACTTAGAAAAATAAGCACTTTATTCCTTGTGAAGCTTGGCTCCTCCCAGAATTGACTTTGGAGCTATTTTCTTCTACCCTGTTTTTTTCTTTTTCTCTTTTTTCCCCTGAGCTTATCACTTAAATATTTGTACTCATACACATTATAAACAAACTTCTTTTTGTTTGTTTTAATGGTCTGTCTTCGGCCAGGAAGTAGAAAAGCAGCAGGGAAGGGATTAGGGAAGTTGTAGATACCTACCTGGCAGAGACCCCGCCCCCTTCGCCCCATCCCGGCACCCTGATTTAGGAGCAGAGCCCTGGGATAGTCCGTGGCTGATGGGCGTGGTGGGAAAGGGCTGGAGGCTCATTTTGCTCTCAGGGTGGCTGGTCCGTGTGGAATCAGCTAAGGATGACAGAGCGTGTGGCCTGAGATGCTTCGCTCACAGAGGAACTGAATATTGAGCTCCTTTAAGAGAGCATTGATTCTGAAACCATTTGGGCCTTTCTGAGAACCTGCGTGAAACTTGTTCTTCCTGTCTTTTATTGAATGTTCCCCAAACAGGCCAAAGCGTTTGAGTTAAGCTACCTCGAGAAGGTTCCAGAAGTCAAAGACACCGTGCACAAGCAGTCACTTCTCCACCACGTGTGCACCATGGTGGTGGAAAACTTCCCGGACAGCTCTGATCTGTACTCAGAGATTGGGGCCGTCACCAGGTCAGCCAAGGTATGTCCGGGGCTCGGAAGAGCGGGCGTGCCTGTCCCCAGAGGCTGGCTCTGCATCAGTCATCTCTGCGGAGCACAGGCTCTGTTAACTAAAACGACCAAGTAATGCTTGCACCCCCTGCTCTAGAGTTTGTGAATAAAACTCGTCTCGTGCCATGTCTAATGGACTTTTGAGATCATTTTCCCATCTCTGGTTCTCTGTCAGATTCTTTCCTGCTGAGGTATGTGAAGCAAGCCTGCCATCCCAGTCAGTCCTAACCCTGGCGTCCCCTGTTCAGCTGCGTTACTCACCAGGCTGGCTTCTCCAGAGCAGTGAAATCACCCAGCTGGTTTTAGGTGGGCAAAAATGTGCACAAGATGCAATTGGCCTCCTCCTCAAACTTCCATAGGACCCTGCAGTGAGGTGCGGAGCCAGGAAACTAAGGGCACTCCTGGCCCGCTGACCCCTACAGATTGGCCCTGCCTATGATCTTACACCGAGGGAACAGTTTTATAGGGCTATAAACAGCGTAGAGCATTGCCCCTCGGCTGCAAACTCTTAAACTTAGTGCAGAGTTAAAATCTTCATGAGCTTATGGTTTAGTTGTAAGAGCTGGATAGCCAGCTGCCCCCGCTGCAGGAGCATCCCTGGGGCCAAACAACCCCAGAGGGATCCCAAACACAGCAGAACTGGGAGATGTAAGGGTCTTGGAAGCAACAGGGAACTCACAGGGATGGGCTTCAGTAGGGCCAGGTCGGTGTGGAAGAAACTCCCAGAAATACAACCTGGCTGGGGAGCTGAAAGCAGAACAGCGTTTAGCTCTGAGACACATTGGAATCTAGCGATGAACATAGGAGAGACTGCGGTGGGCAGAGGGGGGAAAGGGCTTTGCTAGGTTCCCCTTCAGGGAGCTTTCCCTCTCTCTGCCTTCTCCCACAGAGCTGGCTTGTGGGGACCTGGGGCCTGGGACCCTCCTTCACCTGTCTCAGGCAAGCAGCTGCCAGGTCCACTGAGCTGGGCGCCCTGAGCCAGCCTGACGGTGGCCCTTCCTTGAGGCAGAAACAGGCAAGGCCAGCGATCCTGCAGCTCTGAGAGTGGACAGACTTTTCTGTTTCACAGGCGCTCTCTCTGTATGTACTCTGTGCCGGGCACTGTTCTGAAGTCTCTAGAAATATTACTTCAGTGTTCCAAAAGCCCTTCTGAGTGTCCCAACGGGGGTCTTCTAGGTGCCCCATGAGCACCTTCTCGGAAGACAGTTTATTAGTAATAATTCTTGAGATAGAGTCTGCCTATAATTCTTGAGACAGGGCTTCTGGATCCCCTTCATTTGGTCCTGTTTCCAGAACGAATCAGTTCCCTTTTTACAAATCAGTAGTCCTTTGTTCTTTCTAGGGCCTTCTGCTGGGCGGAGGCTGCTTTTGATGAAAGTCGCCCTGGCCTAGGGGCCCTGACACCAGGCTGGCCCCCAGTGACTGCCCTGGGCCCCTCAGTATCAGGCCTTTCCTTGCCTAAAGACTGGCTACACAAGCCAGACCTGCAGGTAGCTTCTCCCCATTAACCTCGGCAATTACGAAGGATGACTGTTGACCCAGGTCCATGTGACTTACAACAGGACGCCAAGAGGGCATCTACCACCACTTCTTAGCCTTTACTCCCAAAGTTCTGGGGGGCTTTGAGGGGCTCTTATGTGTAGACAGGTACAAAATCAGCTTCAAGGACCCCCAGCCCCAGCTGCATTCATTCCGTCCCCTGGTGTGTCACTTTGGGTGTCCTCACTGCAACCCACGAAGAGCAGGTTACTTTGGCATCTGGAAGAAAACCGTCCCACCAGGGGCTGGTGGAAATGAGTGGAGGTGGGCATAGCTCTGGCTGCTCCTAGAGGGGCAGCGGTGGGGGACTCACAGGCTTGTGCAGAGTGCAGACAAGTCACGTTAGCTTTCAGAGAGCGACAGTGAAGTGTGATCACTGACTTGACCCCACGGCTCTAGGAGTGGAGGCAGGTGACCGTGCAGGCTCTTCTTCCTTACATTTTTACCCGCATGTATTAGTTATCTACAGCTGTGTGACAAATCACTCCAAAAGCTAGTGGCTCAGGATAATGTATTAGTTTCCTCGGGTTGTTGTAACAAAGTATCACAAACTAGGTAGCTTAGAAAAACAGAAATAATTTGTTCCCCAGTTCTGGAGGCCACGAGTCTGAGATCAAGGTGTTGGCCAGGTCAGTTTCTCTTGAGAGAGAAATCTGTGCCATGTCTCTCTCCTGGCTTCTGGTGGTTTGCTGGAAATAACCCTCATCTCTGCCTTCATCTTCACATGGTGTTCTCCTTGTGTGTCTATGTCCAGATTTCCCCTTCTTATAAGGATACCAGTCATATTGGATCGGGATCCACCCTACTCCATTGCAACCTCATCCTAACTTAATTACATCTATAATGACCCTATTTCCCGATTAGGACACATTCTGAGGTACTGGGAGTTGGGACTTCAACATATGAATTTTGGCAATAGGAAACATTATTTCATGAGTGGTTCTGTCTCAGGTTCTCTCCTGGGGTTTCAGTCAACATGTCAGCTGAGGCTGCAGTCATCGAAGGCTCGACTGGGGCTGGGAAGTTTTTCCCATGGTGGCTCACTCATCTGTTAGTTCTTAGAGAGAGGACTCAGTTCCTTCCCACGTCGGGCTCTCCCAGGGCTCCTTGAATGTCCTCATGACTTCGCAGATGGCCTTTCCCCAAATATGTGGTCTGAGACAGAGCACACAGGAGCTCCGGGCAGAAGCTCTTCCCCATTTATGACCTAGCTTTTACATTCTATTCGTTAGAACCAGGTCACTAAAGCTGGCTCACATTCAAGGGGAAGGATTTTAGGCTTTACATTCTGAAGGGCTGAGTGTCAAAGAATTTGCTGTTAAGCACCAGACTACTCATACTGTGTGTTTTCCCTGCCCCATCCCTTCTGCAGCCCTGGCTCTCGTCCCTGAGTTGGCCCGCTCCACCCCAGACTAACTTGATAAGACTTGACTACCTCACAGCACGGTTCCATGTCCTCCTACACACGGAAGGTGGCCCATGTGGAGCAGTCCTCAGGAGAGGGCTTCCTGGTGAGGACTTCCTTCTCACAACAGAAGGCCAGGCCAGCTCTCTCCCTGGGGTGGAATTTTTTAGGGACAAACCTAGGCTTAAGCATGACGGTTGAGAACTTAGACTCTGGAGCCAGAGAGATGTGGGTTCAAATCCCAGCTCTACCACTAACCAGCTGTGTGGCCTCTCACAAGTTCCTTAGCCTTTCTGTGCAACAGTTTCTCCCCCATGAAGTGGGGCCAGTTACAGAATCTGAGGCCATGAAGTAACTGTGAAGACTCAGATCATGGTGGTTTCGTCAGCCCCAGGAGACAGCCAGCTGAGGCAGCCTTCTAGGTCTCCTCAAAAGGTCAAAGGCTCTGCACCTGGTTTCCATTGGCAGTGAGGTCACTTTTTTCTGCCACTACCTTTAAAGGCTCACAGTGGATTCTCTTCCCTGAAAACCATCTCTAACGTGGTTTCTGCCCGACCGCTCTGTGTCCACTGCAGTGCTGGACAGGCGTCCCCTGGTTAGGCTGTACCAAGCTGCTCAGTACATTCTGAGCTGAACTGAAGTTACTACGCTTATTAAAGTTATTACAGATATTGCGGATCAAGGTTGCTGCTAGATGCAAATGAGGACAGGTGGCGAAGCTATGATTAGACCTGTTACAATTGGCATCAAATCTCCTAGACCTCTTAGATATTATGTGTCAATCCCAGACCATCTGGAACCCTTTCTAGACTTATTCTTTGAAATATTCAGTCCTTCTTTTCGAAACCTGCATTCCGTTTTCTTTCAGGTAGATGCCAGATGTTTTCTCAGCTCCATCGTATCATAGGAAAATGGAGCTTTTCTAATCTGGATCCAGAATTCCTTTGTTTTCAGGCAAATTATTTTTCTCAAAGTTCCACAGTGCTCGCCGCTCACCTGAATCCCCAGCCTCTGCCTCAACTTGCCTTCTGTTTTTGGCACCATAGCACCCAAGAAATCCAGGACGTGTGAAGTCTCGCCTGGCCCCTTGGGCATCTCCTATGCTCAGCATACCTTCATCCTGTTTGGTGACAGATCTTCTCACGGATTCAACTTTTGTTGACTTGGCCTCCTCCATCGTCTTTCTCAGGGTGGAGCTGGAGGTCTGAGGTCACTCCAGCCAGTCCCCTTGGGCACTCGCCTCCAAGCCTTGCTCTGGTGACCACAGTCATGACATCTAAGCGATGGTGGCTTACCTCTCCCCACCTTCTCTTTTTCCTCCTGACCTTTGTTTGCCAGGCTCTCACCCTTTCCCACCATCTCTCACTCTCCATCCACCTCAGTCCCCTCCCTTCAGCTCATCAATTTATCTATTTCTTCCTCCCCTCCTAGTCTTTTCAGTTTCTTTCCCCTATCTCACATCTCCCTCCATTAAATACCCTCAAGTGTATTATTTCACGGCTAACTCTCTGATTCCCATAATTTTTAGTCTAGAAATTCTATCAAAGCATTCTTTTAGAAAGCTTCATCTCAGTCCACTTTAGTCAATCCAAATTGGTCCCACTTCCCTGAAGAGCAAAGTGAATGTTCTGTGACATCTGTTCTTTGTACACGTGGTTTGCATCTGCTGGCAGATGGGATGGACCACACACCCCGATACTCACCCAGACACAGAGGCCTGGTGGGTTCTGTACTCAGAGCTCGGTGACCACCTGTCTGTACTATGAGCCTCCTTGGGAACAGCAAGTTGGTCTCTTTCCGCATTGATCTTTGTCTTCTTCATACCTGGGAGGGGGACCGGCATGCACTAGTTTTTCCCTGAGTGTTGTTTGAATGAGAGAATGAATGGATAAATAAAGTAATTTGTCCCACAATGTAAAAATGATCATGGTGAAGGGAAGCTCTGGCTGCCCCTTAACTGGCCCCAGCATATCAAAGCCATCCACGTAGGACTGTGGTGCATTCCTCCAACCTCAAGTGAAATATCTAAAGAAAAAGAGAGCTCTGAAAAATTTTATGAGATATCTGCTCAGTTCATCTTGTACTAGATTCCTTGATATCCTGTTTTAATTTACAGTTCCCAAAGACTTTCTTAAGATTTCTTTCCAAATACGGCGAAAAAAAAAAAAAAAGGTGACACTGCATTGAGTTCATTTGGAGAAGTTTTATCACTAAATAATTTGATGTCAAGACATGTGGATAATTTTTAGGCCATAAATATGTTTGTATTTCAAGATGTAAATTGGGTTTTGATGTTTGTTTCTTCCCAGAGGCAGTTCCGTTTCCTGGGTCAGGTTGATGTCCGGTTATTTCATTGCATTTGGTAATGTTCTCTCTCTGATTTTCAGGTTGACTTTGATCAACTTCAGGATAATTTATGTCAGATGGAGAGACGATGCAAAGCTTCATGGGATCACCTCAAGGCAATTGCAAAACATGAAATGAAACCAGTTTTAAAACAACGAATGTCAGAGTTCCTAAAAGACTGTGCAGAGAGAATTATAATTTTAAAGATTGTCCATAGAAGAATAATTAACAGGTGAGTGGATTGAGGAGCTTATGCAAACATCAGTAAAACGGCATGTTGAAGATATTCTGCAAACCAAGATCTGAAGGTTAAATTTACTAACATCGTCCTGTAAGTTCTTGGTACATAGCAAGTGCACCTTTTATGGACTTTTTTGTTTCATGAGCACTTAATTTTTCTCAAACACACACACACACACACCAATAATATGATGCCGTTGAATCTTGAGATGGGAAGGAATCTCACAGATGCTGTCATCCACAAATCCTACTCGATCAGGAATTGCATCTGTAAGATCTCTGGCAAGTTGGCCCCTGCATCTTTGCATCTGCCTGAACAGTTCTACCTGCAGAAAGTACACATCCTTGGAAGGCAGCTTGGCTTGTTAGGAAGGTTCCTTCCTCATATCAAGCACAGCCTGCCTCCTGAGACCTTTCTCTCACCGATTCTCAGACGGCTGCTCTGTGCTGCAGCCCTCCTAGAGACAGCCTGGGTCCCACCATGGGTCCCATCCTCTGGATCAGCCTTCCTTCAAGTCCCAGGATCCATGAGGACCCTGGGAGACACAGCAGTGATGTGTCAGGCCTTGCCTGACTACAGGGAGGCTGGCTGGGGTCTGGGACAGCTCCATGACTATCCGGGGCCGTCTCCCTTGTAAGTGGTGGCAGCACCAGGGCTAGGTCTTCCAGCTCCCCAGGTCAAGCCATTTCCTGCTAGGCATCCCCCACTTTCTTCCCCTTTGTCTTGTCACAGAACATGGTTGCCGGTCCCTCCCCCTGGTGTCTGGGTCTGCGTGCTGTGTGCTGGGCCTTGCACCTTGGTGAGCAAATGTTCAGGCCTACAGGCTGCGGTTTCCCTGGAGCAGGTGCTCTGATAACAGACCCTCTGAAACAGGCCTCCTTGCAATTCTGTTAAGGGAGCCCTCCCTTGGGGTCATCTAAACCACAGGCGTTCCCCAGAGAACTGCTCTTCAAGCCCACTCCCACTCTTGTGCTTGAGTACTTTATTATTATTTTTAAACAAATGTATGGTATTTTCATTTATCCCTGTACATTTCACATTTTTTATTATTTTTGTCTCTTCCCCCCTGCCCCGTACTCTGTCTTTCCTTCCTTCCTTCACCTTTCTTGAACCCATACAGAACTTTGAAAACACCTCATTCTCTTGTCTGCCTGTGAGCCCTCTCTCAGCTTGTGGCACGTGCTATTTGGGTGATCACACCTCCTGGGTCTTGATCCAGACTTTTCTGGGCGGGGGGTGGTGAGGGTAGTCTTTAAATGTTAGACTGGATAGGAATAAGGAACAGAATCTTCCCTCCAGGTTGACAACTAACCATTACTCAGTACTTTTGGAATTTAGTTGTTCAACTGTAAATCCCCCTCCCTGTACTTCATCTGGACCTCACAGCTGCCTTCGGGGTAGGAGGATCTTATCAGACATTTTGTCAAATTTCTTACTACAAGCAAAGTACACCCTCCTTTTAACATGGCTAAAAAGGGGAGACAGAGAGTGTAAGCTGCTTTGGCCCTCCAGGCTTTGTATGATACAAGCAATTTCCAACTTAAAACTACTCAAATAAACAAATAGTTTCCATTTGGAATGGCAGGAAACTGGAGCAGTTTTATGAAAGTCTTGTAAAGTTATTATGCCTGGTCACAGTAACCATCTTATCCCAGACAGTTTAAGACTCAGCTTGGTCATATATCTGTTCCTTAAGCTAGTGTGTGTGTGTGTGTGTGTGTGTGTGTGTGTGTGTGTGTGTGTGTGT